GTCTAGTGTATCCATTCCTAACAGTATCCAGGAGGCTCTAAATGTTCCTGAGTGGAAAGAAGCTATTTTTTAGGAGATGAGAGCTTTGGAAAAGAATGCTACTTGGGAGAAAGTGGATCTACCGGATGGGAAGACAGTTGTTGGTTGTAAATGGGTGTTTACTCTGAAGTACAACTCAGATGGATCCTTGGAGAGATACAAGGCTCGCCTAGTAGCTAAAGGCTTTACTTAGACATATGGAGTAGACTACTCTGAGACCTTTTCTCTAGTGGCGAAGCTAAATACAGTTCGAGTACTCTTATCTGTTGCAGCTAATCTTGATTGGCCACTGAATCAGCTGGATGTGAATAATGCCTTTTTGAGTGGAGACTTAGAGGAAGAAGTATATATGGAGCCTCCACCTGGTTTCACTGAGAAGCTTGGAACTAAGGTATGCAAGCTAAAAAAGTCTCTATATGGACTTAAACAGTCTCCCAGAGCCTGGTTTGAAAGATTCGCAAGGTTTGTTAAAAGTCAAGGATATAGTCAAGGACAATCTGATCATACTCTTTTCACAAAGAGATCCACCAAAGACAAGGTCTCGATTTTGATTGTCTACGTGGATGACATAATCTTGACTGGAGATGATATAGAAGAGATGAGCAGACTGAAGCATAGCTTAGCCAAGGAATTCAAGATTAAAGACTTAGGCCAGCTAAGGTACTTTCTTGGAATGRAAGTGGCAAGATCAAAGAAGGGCATTGTGGTTTCGCAACGAAAGTATATTCTAGATCTCTTGAAAGAAATTGGAATGAGTGGTTGCAAACCTTCAGACACTCCRATAGAAGTTAATGCTAAGCTTGGAGAAGTTAAAGATGGGGTTCCAGTAGATATGGGTAGGTACCAAAGACTGGTTGGAAGATTGATTTACTTGTCACATACACATCCTAATATTGCCTTCGCTGTGAGCATGGTCAGTCAATTTATGCACTCCCCATACGAAAAACATCTTGAAGTTGTGTATCGAATTCTTAGGTATCTAAAAGGCACACCAGGAAAATGACTCTTCTTCAAGAAAAATGAGAAGAGAGGGGCTGAGGTGTATACAGATGCGAATTGGGCATGTTCGATTACTGATAGAAGGTCAACTTCGGGGTACTRCACATTTCTTTGGGGCAATTTAGTTACTTGGAGGAGCAAGAAGCAAAGTGCAGTTGCTAGAAGTAGTGCTGAGGCTGATTTCAGATCAATGGCTCAAGGAGTGTGTGAGGTTATTTGGCTAAATAGGGTTCTAGCAGATCTTAAGAGACCAGTGAGTTTTCCTATGAAATTGTATTGTGATAACAAGGCAGCTAACAGCATTGCTCATAATCCGGTTCTACATGACAAGACGAAACATGTTGAGATTGACAGACACTTTATAAAGGAGAAGCTTGAAGAGGGAATAATTTGCACTCCATTTGTACCAACCACGCAACAAGTTGTAGATGTTTTGACTAAGAGCTTGTTGAGACAGCCATTTGAGCTTCAAGTTAGCAAGTTGGGCATGATAGATATCTTTGCACCAACTTGAGGGGGAATGTCGGTAAATTAGGAAAGTTAGGATTTGATTGTTAGAGATTTGAATAAATTTAGGAAAGTCATCCTAGGATTAAGGGAAAGAATTAGTCAATCCCTGATTGTGAGAGATTCTAGGGTTAGCCTTTCCTATCTTTTCTTATTTAAGTTGTATGCTCAATGTGTTTTGAAAATTAACAAAGAAAATATTTTCTCCTCTCTCCCTCTATATTTTGCTACAAATATAATAAAAATATATATAATATGTTCTTTTCTTTGTTTCTCTTCTCTTTTTTACAAGCTATAGTGAGATCTTTCATTATTTTTGGGTTTTGATATCTTTTAATATAAATAAATCAGTTTTTTATTGAGTAAAAACAGAAATTTTTTTTCCAATTTTTTAGTTGGGCTTCGAGCTCGTACCTAGTCTTCGGGCTTTATATGACGGTCAGGCTTGGGCTCAAGACCTAGGCCTGATGGTTGGGCCAGGCTGAGCCTCAACCCTAAATGTGTTCTGTAAATCTAGAGACAAAGCCCAGCCCGTGAACAGGTTTACTTATCACTACTTAAACTCATCACCGCACTTAAATTCTTCCAAGGAGAATAGTTCTTCCAATTTCGCAGCCAACTTCCTTGAGATTCTTTCCCAATGTAGTCCCTCTAGCACAAGCCTCTAGGGGCTATTTGAGCCTTGCAGGGCCCTAAAATGTGAAGTTAACACCAATTCAAGTCCCTCCTTATTCTGAATTTCTTCCCTATTCACCACAATTTCTAAAATATTTAATATTTCCATCCCCCTCCTTCAACCATTTACATCTCAATTTTTGCCGCTAGCAAATTTCCTCCCTTCTTAAAATCATATCCAACTCCGCCCTCAAATCCATTCTTTTCCTTCTCTCTTCTCACAACCCCCTCCCTCTTCCCATTCAATCCTTTCCACCTCCTCAACCTGTCTCAAAAATTCCATTTCTTTCTTCATTTCTACCAAACACCTAGATATTCCACATTCTCAACTTACTTTTGATGAACCTCAACCTATAAATTGAAAACCAGCTGGTCCCTCCACTTGCCCTTCTTTCCTCCGATTTATCAATGTTTTCCGTGAAACTAGGGTGTGTTGTCCGCACATTTACAAAACTGAAGGGTAGAGGACAAAAATGCTCCTCCCATTCTGAATTGACTAAACACCTGTCCCGCTTGCAACATACCAGAATCTCCTGTAAGCAAACTGTCCTCCACGAAATCATTAAAGTTCCTCATATTTTTTGTGGTTTTGTAGGTTCCAATATTTTTTTCTGCACAGCATCCAAATGTTCAATGCCCAATCCGATTATTCCAGATTTGGATGATCCATTTAATCGAATTGAAATTAGATTTGACCACATCCAATCTGATTAAGATTCAAACCTAATTTAATTTTATAATATTCATATTACAAAATCATATGCATACACATTACACAAATACATGGATAATATACATATATAATTATATAAGGGTTATAATTAATAAATTCAGTATTTTATATTTGTATAAATTTATTTTATTTGTACAAGTTGAAAGTTATTAACTTTTATAACTTTTTAAATATTTTCTTTATTTTAAAAATAATGTTAAAGACTTGGATTAAATTCGACTCCAATCTAAATTCCAATAGGATTTCAAAATCAGATTGGATTCAAATGTGGCTGAACTTGATCTGAATCCAACTCAATTACAGCCCTACTCACGTGAACATTGAGAAAAAAAGAGAGATGTTGAATGTTGAAAGTTGTAGAATCAACAACAATCAAAGAAGAAAATGGAATAAGTAGAGAATGTACCACTGTATGGTATGATAAGTTTATATCATTTAAGCTACTCCACAAGAAAATATCAACAGTAAACCACTATGAACATTTCATAGACATTTCTTCCCGTTTTCCTTTATTTTTTCCCTCCTTTTCATGTACTCTTATTTTTCCTTTTTTTTTTTTGTTTTTTGCAGACAGCATAGGGAAATCACTAACTCCCTTGGTATTCTTGGATGAAGAATTACTTCTAAAATTTCAATGATTCTAACAATGGACCAGTGTTTTAAAAGCGCAAAGCGCAAAAAAGGCGTAAGGGCCAATTTGTGCCCAAGGCGCAAGGTGCAAGGTAAGGCATGCGCCTTTTTGAAGCAAGGCGCAAAAATACAAAAATAAAAAAAAAATGTCAGAAGTGATACATACTGGCACTGCCAAAGGCTTCATGAATCTCTAGATGTAAGAAGTGGACAATGTCTACAAGCTTCTCCATAACCTGCAACACATGGGATTAGATTGTTTAGAAACATATTTCTTAAAATAACTAGAAGAAAAAAAATCTTTAGTTGGGTTATCTTTCTACAATAATCCATTCTTTCAGAATATCCCTGAAAAGTTACAAAACAGTAAAATTAGGCACCTCTTCCAAAATCTTGGACCATAGTGATTTTTTCTTTAAACTTCTTACATGCTTCTTTTGACTTTTCAGCTCTGCCCTTAAGATTGCAAGGCCATCCCCTACATGTAAAAGAAATAAAATTGCAGTAACACACAGAACCATTGTTAAAAAATAAATAGATAAAAAAGTCAAGGGAAGCTCAATAATTTATCACTGGATATTATACTTTCCTACAAGAAGAAAGCCAATGGCTTCTATATGTGATGTTACATGATTACAATCTAGTTGATTTAACAAGACGTACAACACTACAGAAAATTAAGTAATGCCAAGAAACTGCAAACCAGCTTCAGACACGACACATACCCAATACAATACAGGATGCTGTAGGGACATTAGATATACAATAACATTAACATTTCTAGGATATGTAAACTTATATATTTTAAAAAATCATACTATAAGAGCTTGTATATGCTGGAAATTTAATTAAGTTTGGCAAGACATGAGCTTTGAGAAATCACATTTAGGTTAAAAAAATGTTGTTGTTTTTCTTTTCTCAGTTGATGCTTAATAACTCATACTACAAAAAATGTCTTCTCATGTATTAGCATTGCATGGACACTATCTGGAGGGAACTCACAAGTTGAAATTTCACAAGTCAACTTATGCCTAACTCGAATAAAGTACATATCAGGCAGACTTATCAAAATACCCACTTGTGAACTCTCCAAAATTGCGAGTCCTCAACTCAAATGCTTCTATGTAAATACATGTATCCAGATACTTTACTTTTTAATCATCTAGTGTCTCATGTTTCTTACCAAATACTAACACTATTAGTTTGTCTTTTCTTTCTACAAGTTCCAACAAAGCAAGAAAGGCAACTGAAGCTTGATTCTTTCTTAATCTTATTCCTATTTTGTTAATGAATAAGATAGATAATGACTTTTAAAGCTGATACATTCGTTCTTTGGGTTCAACTATGATACCAGTAAAACTTATAACATCATAGATTTATCCATGTTATTGTGTGTGTGTTATTTTCTCATCATATCACAACAAATTGTAGCATTCTTGGATGCTTCTGATACAATCCTAGGCAAGGCTCAAAGTATCGGAAACGCAAGGTGTATCGGAAAGGTAATTTTAAGAGACGTATCAAGATATGCTTTGGAAACGTATAGATACGGACGAAAAATCAAGATACGCATGGATACACTAGAAAATTTTAAAAACTTTTAAGAAATATGAACATTAATACGTTTTATGTGATTATAACTAATTTATTTAAACATAAAAAATCATTCTTTAATGATTTATATGAAGTATTGGGATATAATTAGTAACAATTGAAAAATAATAGAAGAACTAAAATGTATGTGTATACATACTAATATTTATTAGTTAATATTTTTTTGAAGTCATTTATTAGTTAATATTTATTATATATAGGTTTAGATGATATTTATTATGTATACAAGTTAATATATTCCATAATTTTTAATAAATAAATTTAACTTGTATCCATCTTATTATTATATAAATATTAATAATCAAATTTATAGCATTTGTTGGGAAACATCCACCAAGGCAAGAAAGATTACTTTAAGTATAAAAAAACGTGGTGTTCTAATAAGTAATTGAGGTTGGCATAATGGTTAATTAATTAGTGTTGCAAGCAAATGACTTGGGTTCAAAACTTCTTACCTTTGGTTTGTGATTTTTAACAAGTTATTTGACTTAAAATAACATTTAATGACATATTAAATGCTGTAATTAAAGGTAACTTAAATGAGCATTTAATTAAATTATATTAGCATTTAGTGACGTCTCAGACTTTAAGGCTTAATTAAAATTGATGTTAATGAGGATACGGATGAAAAAATACGAAACCATTTAATTAGACATGTTCCGTGTATCAGAACTCTTCCGAATCGATACGTATCGGCCCGTATCGGCCGATACATTACGAAATTTAAAACCTTGGTCCTAGGACCAGCTGACTGCAAGGAGAACAGAGGAGCAAGTCATCCTTTGTTGATTTGGCCTGGTTTTTGGAGATATGAAGGACTAATTGGTGCCTGAGGAAGAGCCTTGGAGTAGCACCCAAAATCAAGAGAAACTACAGAGTATGAATTAGAATGTCCATATATTTCCATGGATACTGACATGAAATATTACTGGAAGTGGCATTTCCCCCAATGAAAGCTATCAGTACTCTGTGGAGTACAAGAGATCACATTGGAGCATCAGTTGGTAACAATATTTTAGATACATGGAGTAGCAGTTTCATTGCCCACCTAATGGACATGATTACTGCTTCGAGCCAGCTCGAAATTCTTTTCAAACATGAAGTTAAATCTTCATTTCGTTGTATAATAGATTATCTTGTTGATCTATTAGAATAATTTGCACTTCTATGAGTTTAAACTTTGCTTGAACTCACTCTATCATATAGTTTTGACTCTTACAGTTTACAGGAGAGCATTGTAATGTATTATTTTACCTGTCAACCTTACTTCTTAGCTTTGTTTGATGATTTGGAACAAGATGACAATTTAAAAGGGTCTAACTAGGCATATTTTATCATTACATATGACAGCAATTTATACTTTTTCATAGGGAGAATGACGATTCAGCCCAGGGTCAGAATTTGTAGGCTCAAAGTACATTTGGGGTAGGTGCCAGCTCGGAATTGATGCCAATTCACGGGTGGGTATGGGTGTATAGAGTGTAGGTTTTTGACATTTTGAATGTTTATAGATTTGCAGTAGAATTCAGAAATCTGCTTTAGGCCTATCCGTACTTTTCCCTTTTTCATATTTCACAATGTTTCCTCCATGTCTATATTTTTTTACAATATTTCCATACAATATCTCCAACATTTCCGACATGTTTCCTACACTGACATTTTAAACCTTACCAAAGAGAAGCGTAAATTCATTAATGATTCTTGTTTTTCTTACCTTGGAATTGGTGCTTAGACCTTATTGGATTTATCTTGGTAAAATATACTGGGAGATTGCCCCTAGGTTGGTGTCTAGGGAAACTAGAGAGATCAACATATTAATCTCTAGGTTCTCCAAGACATTGGTGTATGCTTTGTGGTTTTCTAGTTTTTTTTCACCAAGATATTGAGATTGATTGTTCTTGGAAGGAGAGTTTAGGTCTCTGTAGAGATCAATTGGATGATCCCCCTCTTACCCCAATCCTAAATTAGAGTTGTGAGTCTTGAGAAAAACTATAAGGTCATGATTTAGATTGAGTCTTTCTTGCAGACTCTCTTATTTGTTATTTTATCGAAAGAATACATTCTTTCTGAATGATGGATCCGCTCGTAGAAATTTTTAGATAGGGGGAGAACCTGAAGTGGTTATGGGTCACATGGGACAGACTCCATGTACACAAATTACTACTTTGAAGTTGGATGGGGTGAATTATCTTGAATGGGCTCAGTCTGCTTGAATGGCTTTTGAAGGAAGAGATAAATTGGGGTACATTATTGGTGGTACAAAGAGACCAGATTCCACAGATCCTTCCCATGCTCAATGGACCCAAGAGAACTACATGGTGATGACCTGGTTGTGTAGTTCAACAATAACAATTTGATTAAACTGTTCTTTTCCCATCTGCAATCATGATGAAATGCAGTACATTCTGACTACATGATCAGTTCCATATTTTGAGAACCTAGACACACCATTTAGTGGTCCAACCATTTAAACTCCAATACATAGTAGTGAATATAATTTCTACTCATGCCATATATTCATAAATCACTTCAATCCCAAAATCATTCCACATATTTCAATGCACAACATGTAAGTGCAAGAGAAATCACCTCTTTGAGCAGCATTTGAATTATCCTCCTCCTGAAGCTTGCGTCGATAATCTTGTTCAAATCTGTCCAAGGCATGCAACTCATGGTATAATTCCTGTGACCAAAAGAAATATTAAACTTTTCCAGAATATGAATTCTGAAATATAACACCTAGGTCTAAGCCAACATAAACTTTATATTAGAAAGAAACATGAGTAGAAACCGTATATGCAACAAATCTCAGGATCAGTCCTCTATGGAAATAAAATGGCAAAACCAATTTTGAAAATGAATGCTATTTTATATGAACTTGGAATGGGTCCCAGGAGCAGATATGTGTCCAGATTCTAGGAGTAGGATTTATCTTACCTAAAAATCTTGGTATACAGGAACTTAGCTAAAATTAACTTGCTGATTAGTACTAGCATGTGGAGACATCACACATTGGATGATAAATAGAGTTTATCAATCATGCAAGTAGTCTATGTAAAATTTAGATGCATTTCCCTATTTACATCTAAACCCAAAACTGGAAAGCATCAACAACAAAAGCAAGAAAAATAATTACATTATAAAAAGAAACAATGACATTGGTAGCAACAGATCCAACTGATTTTTTATGGCTTCTCTTGAATAAGGCAACTTGCAGTTGCAGATTCCTGCATAGTAGCAACTAGCTCTTACAACACACCCACAGGGATCCAATCAACTTGATTTCGCTCGTGACAGCACTTTTGGTCCTTGCCCAAGTCAAGATCAGTGTTTTAAAAGGCGTGGGAGGCATACACCTCCAGGCGAGGCACCCCAAATGCCCTGAGGCATATGCCAGAGGCACTGACACCTCTGAGGCATATGCCTCAGGTGCCTCATGCTCTAGTATGCCTCATGCACCTCATGCAGACCTCATATAAAAAGACAAAAAAAAAGGAAAGAAAAAACAGGAAAAGGAAGGAAAAGAAAGGGAAGGGAAACAATAAGAAAGAAAGAGAAGAAAAAAGAGAAAAAGAAAGAAAAGGGAAGGGAAGGGAAGAAAAGATGAGGGGAAAAAAGTGGGCCAGGGGCGAAGCATCTTCATTCTCCTTAACATAAAAGACTTATTAAAAATAAAGAAAAATGAGATCCTCCTTCCTCTTCTTCCTCCTCCCCTTCCTCCTGCTTCTTCCTCGTCATCCCCCTCCTCTTAAGGAGGCTTACGCCTCTTACATTCTGAACTACACCTCACACCTCTAGGTAGTGGAATGCCTCGTGTCACACCTCCACATTTTAAAACATTGGTTAAGATAAATCCACAACTAATCAAATGGTATTCATAGTAGCCCATGCCTCTTATCCCAAACCCAATACATAAATAGAGTATTCATGGAAGCCCAAAACATTTACCTAAGACATGACCAATCATCAAGTCCACCCAATAACACATTTCCCAGTTACAAAGGTGAACTACCAACTTAAAAGAGATCAAACCACAAATATGGCAATATTAAGAACATTCTACCAGAGACTTTAACATATCAAATACCCTTATGGCACACGAGAACAACTAAAAAAAAAGCCCTTAAACAAGACAAAGACTCCCGCTTAGTAGAAACTTGTACTCTTAAGTGCTTCATCAAACATGCTAAGGCATGATAAATTTTGGTGCTGGAAATATTTGGACATTTCAATGAACTTCTATATTGCAACAGGCATTGCCAAAGATCCACAACCAAAGAAGTTTGACTACAGCCAAAAAGACACAAAAAGCATGCACCCTTTAAGCTTTGGATCTAAAATTTCACTAACCTGCAACTAGACATCCAAAAACTCTCCCAAATACCACTTGAAACAAGACTAGGTCCAAAGTTGTGCTTGTGATCACACTTTCAGAGGGACCCATCAACCTTAAGTCTCTTTAACAAACGAGACCCCATCAACACAAAGCATAAAAGAAAAAGATCTTGATCAAACTGACACCAAAAAAGGGACACATGGACTTTTGTTAAAACAGGAGTGTTAAACACCTAAGGCAACCAATCAATCCACTGTTTAAGCCACTACCCATCAAAACACCATAGATATGTCTCCAAACAACAGTTGATCACTTCAGTTTGACCATCTGTTTGGGGATAATAGCTCGTAGAGTAGCACAGCTGAACCCAAAGATCCTTGAAAAATGTTTCCCAAAACTTTCTCATAAAAAACAGGTTGCTGCCTGTAAGGATAAAAGTGGGAGTGCCATGTAATTTGGCCATATCATAAAAATAGGCCCCAGCCACCAATACTAGCCATGTAGGGGTGAGGTAGCACAATAAAATGTGCATATTCAATCCGTCTACATTTACCAGCTGATTTTGGATGGTCCTGATTTAATCCGTAGTGATTTCATCCCACACCTTTTCAGGAACAAGTCAAGTCTGAAGCAACCTGGTTGGAGACTGGGTAGAATACTTCTGTTGTTGACATGTGGCACAAGAAGATACGTAGTCCTTGACCATTTTCTTCATTTGGTTCCAGTAATAGTGCATGGAAAGCTGCTTACAGGAACGAAAAAACCCAGAATGCCCACCCATGGTGGAGTTGTGGAACAATTAAAGCAGTTCCTGGTGATGGGCCAAAATCTTGGGGAGCACCAATTGGCCCTTGTAGAATAGGTTTGAACCTGATACTGTATGCCCAGGTACAGAAATTAGGTTGTACAGCCACTGGGCCTGATAAATAATCAGGATAATCGGGTCTGACCCGATTAGACCCGATTGTACTGACAGCTATAATTATTTAAATAAATAACAACCTAAAACTTGGTTTTGGATAATATAATCTTAATAAAAATGACAATAAAATAATAAATTATTATATATTAATAAATCAAGTATTTTTAATTAAAATTAGCTTATATATTATCTATCAAATTTACATTTTTTACACATAAAAATAATAAAAATTAAAAAAGAACTAGGAAGCCTTTATGTATTATTAACAAAATAACCGGTATGGGTCTAAGTCATTATTGAAACCTTAGAATCTTTGAGAGGAAGAGGAGTAAAGAAGCCATTATTAAAAGCAAATGGTGAGGGTGCCACATTGAGTAAGATCTATGGAATTATTTTCAGATTTCACATTTGATGATGTTATGAGGAATTGGGGGGGTAGTGGCAGCTTCATCTTAAGTAAAGCAGAAGGAAATAAAAAACCAGGCTGCACGTGCAAATAGATGCCTAAAATTGAATTTTGATGGGAGTAACTTTGGTAATCCAGGGCACTCTGAAATTGGAGGGGTGAAGAATTGAACTAGAAGAGAATTCAACTAGGGTAGAAATAAATGCCACAATATTCAGGGCGCAGAAAGCAATGGAGATGGGAGTGAGGAAACTTGTGATTGAAGGAGATTCCAGACTTGTTATAAGCTGGCTGCTTCAGGGTGAAAATGGTCCGAGGATCTTGAGGAACAAAATCAAAACTTTCAAATGGTTTTCAAGAGAAATGCAAGTAGCAATTCAATGGATACTAAGATCAGCAAATAGCTTGGTTCATCATCTAGCTAAGCAAGGGGTTAACAGAGGGCAATGTTTTTCGGCTTAATTGTAAATTGATAATGTTGGGTGGGTGGCCAAGGCTACCCAAAAATTGTATCCTTCTTTTCTTTATTACTTAATGAATTCTATCTTTGCTGCCAATCCGGAAAGTAAAAAAAGAAAAGGATAATGCTTGCAGATACAACTTTCAATTCCAAATAAGTTACACATTAACTAGTATAATGAATGAATATAAAAAACAGTTGGCACCTATCAAAAATAAAAAATAAAAAACAGTTGGCATTTCTTAGATCACTTATGGATGAAATACACACAACTGTAACTGATCAAAAATAAATACTCACAGCTGTATAATGAACCAAGGTCATCAGTTGCTGCATCACTTCTTCAGCTTCTACTTTCAATTGTTTTTGTAGGGTAAGTTCTGTTCCCAGCCTAAAACATCATAAAAGAAACCAGAAAAAAGAAACATGAAACACATTCAAAATTTAGTAAAAGAAACAGAAAAATGAAACAAGACAAGAACATTTTACTTCTCAAAATAGCGGTCTAGATTATGCCATTGAGGATCTTTACAACGATTTCCAAAACGTACAACCTCTCCAGAAAAAACCTTCAATTCTTCCCTGCATACATTATGTGACAAACCAACAAGGTTATTCTTCCTGAAATGAAAGTAAATTGCAAACATAAAAAAGAAGTGCATTAACATAATATATTCTCATATCGATTTAATTATTTCTCACTCCCCACCTCTTGTCAGCAGCAGCAATCTTCATGAGTTCATCCATGTCTTTTGATACTAAATTTTGCACACCTTCTGAAGGAAGCACTACTTCTTTCAGATGCCTTATATTGGCCTCTGAAAGAGCTTGCATAAGATTTGCACCCTTAACAATTGTATTTGCAACCTCAAATGACAGAATTGAAATTTTATTGCCTTTTGTTGTCACGCCTGAAACAAATCCACTGTTCAGTTGCAAATTTGTCATACTACTTCCAAGTGTGTCCAAGACCTCCACTGCCTTCCCAAGCCCAGCAGTACCAGCTCTACCCAAAAGAGAGCTAACCCCTGAAACCTGTGAGATAGTACAAAATATTAAAATAAGTTCATGCGAGAAATGTAAATCAATCTACTGTACTGTTTTTTTATCTGTTACAAGGAATTTATTAAGATGAATATATAGATAGACATGGAAAAATTCACTAGTCATGTCAAATAGGGAGCTTTCCTACATGACCAACCCTATTTCTGCCATATGGAGGGATACTGTGACCAATCTAAGCCATCCACCAATTAGGTGACCCAATCGATTGACCACTCAGTCAATCTTCCAGTCCAGAGCAGCCCTTGGAGGCTTGGACATACCTTTATTGGTATTTTCTACAAGTAATAGTAGGCATAATATTAAGCTTGCTCAAAAAGAGGGCTTTATTCTGACCACATGAAAAAGGCTTTCGGGCTCAAATCACCCATTAATAGAGGATAGAAAAAGGATGGTTAGATAGATAGAATAAACAAAGATGAACGGACAGAAAGAAAGACCACAGGCTTACAAGTCAACAATCTGATGACTAAAATAGAATAGACCCTAACAATTCATTCGTCAAGGACTTGATGGAAGTAAAATGCTCACTTGAAATAACAGTTTGATATGGACAGAGGAAGAGGTCTCTTTAATACAATGAAGAAATGGCTACAGCTGGCAGGCATAGTTTTCAAGGCACCAAGGTGAGGCTAGGAAACAGGGAAGGCACCTTGTTGCCTAGGAAATGGATTTTTTTAAGCAAAAAAACATATATCCTAGGATAGTTCCCTAGGCTCCATAACCATATTTCCTTAATAATTATCCATAATTTTCATAAGTATAAACTTCATGTTAAAGAACAGAAAATCAACATAATCATAAGAAAAAGAAGAAAGACAAGAAAATTCAAAAAATATGGGGGCTGAACCCCTATTTTGTTATGGGAAAAGAAAAAAAAAAGAAAAAGTGGAAGAAGATAATGTGTTGATTAGACAAAATTTTGAGTGCTTCCTTATTGGTTCAGGTTTTGAAGTCTCAAAACCTAAAATTAAAAAAATAATAAAAACATAAAATGAATATTTTTGTGTTGATTAAACCCCTAAAATTAAAAAATAAATTACTATATTAAAACATAAAATGAATATTTTAGTTTAATAATGTCTATTTTATAATTATATTCTCAAAAATTAAGAATATAAAAGTATGTTATAACACAATGTAGAAAACTGCTTGGTGATTAGGCGAGGCAAGCCTCCAAGGGCACCTTGCTGCCTAGGCGTCGCCCTGACAACTATAACTGCAGGTTAACCTGAAGCCACTATATACCAACCAAGCATGATGAAAGCCCATAACAGCCTACAGCATCAACTGTCTTAGGTTACATATATTGCCAACTCCCTATCTCAAAGCTCTATGAATGTTAGAAATATATTTGTATAGATAGAGAGGACAGCAAAGCATTTATATCCATCCACTTTTTCCATAAAAAAAAATAAATATCTATCCACTCTATATTCCTTAAGCAGAGACAGTTAATCATGTGTCATTTGTAATCAGTTTCCTAATATAAATATTAAACTGCCACAACCTCTTTATTAAAGTATTGATCAATCAAGCACTTAATCTTAAGAGCTATTTTTCAAGAATTTTGAAGGTCCATTAGGTTTGTAAGTAAGGTGATTGATGTGGGTTATATTTATTAATGTAGGAGGAGAGTAATGTAAGAATTTGGGAGGATGAATAGTGTAGGAAAGGAGGGCTGCCTGAGGAATTTCCAAGATTGTATTGATTAAGCTCAAAAGAAATCATAGTGAACCAACGTAAAAATAAAATAAAATAAAAGAGGTGAGCAGATTGTCTAGTGAGTAGTGACCAATGTTTAGGCACCTTTACTTGATAGAGAGGTGGAGCAATGTATATTTTTGCTTGATCAGGGAGGCTAGACAATTATGCCCAAGAATACAAACAGAAATTCTCTGGGTTCCAAGATGTGCTGAGCAAGAATATCCACTGAGTTAAGTTTGTACTGATTAAAGAGCTCTTCAAGGAGCATGGGAATGGAAATATGTTATGATACCATGGGTCTCTATTTATGTACAGAAATATACCTCGTACGTGTGGCAACATTTTCGGTTTTCTCAATAAAATTATACTTTTCTGGTAAAAAAAATGTTTATCTTTGCTTGCAATGCCAGAAGAATTGAATGTGGAGAATGGCGTTCCAGATAAAAGATGGTGGAAAGAATGTGCTGGATGGAAAATTTACAGTTAGATCTTATTAGTGTTGATAAGAAATATAGTTGATACCAGTGAAACCAAAGGGGAATCAGATAATCTAATTCAACAAAGTGTTGAAGTCTTTACACAGTTAGTTACATTGGTTAGCATTTTAATACTGGATCATCTGAAATCCAGGCATCCAGGGGCTTATTTATCAAATATGCATCTAAAGTGGAATCACAGGACAAAAGTGTTCTCCATTTATTCATTAAATGTAGTGGGGTAGATATTCAGTTTGCCACTTCATCTCTGGAGTAAGGATTCCCACCAGCGGCAATAAATGTTATGGATGAGGAAAAGGTGCTAGTGGTATCAAATTGGACAGAAATATCACCAAAAATAGTAGATCTGATGAAGGATTTCAGGGAGGCCATTGAAGCAAAAGGGCAATAGTCTTTGACATGGGAAAGTATTGCGGAACATGTGAAAAAGTACATAAAAGGGGAAGAGATTGTAGAAGAAATCAATAGAAAGGAGGAGATTGAAGCATTGGAGGAGGGAACAACCACTGGCACAAAAGAAGACAAAAGAGAGGAAAGGGTGCAAAGGAGACAGGAATGCCTCATGGAAGATGGGGGAGAGATGCATGGAGATATTGAAGATGGGTGGAAGTGGGACGAATCCCAGCCGTCAAACTTCTAGGGCATCATTGCATCTGATGAAAATTAGCAGAGGGACAGAGCTATTCAAAATTCAGATATAAATCAAGAAGAGGTAATTGATCAGGTGGTTAAAGGTGTATATGGAGAGGTTGGGATCAATGGTGAGGCAAGGCTAGAGCAAAGGTAGGAATAGGAAGAGAAGTTCTCCATCATAAATTGAGAAGCATAAGGAGATATTCTTAAGGTAGTGGCACGTGGTCCAGAGGAAGACATAGGTCATATAGCAGGCCCAAGAGAACGGGTATACCAAGTGGGTGACCGGACAACTGAAGGGACATGCAAAGGAAGATTGGTTTGAGATCATGCATTCTGGCCAAGCAAGCGGAAAACCAAAATGACTCGGGACAAATTGATCATTTTACCTCATCTCAAAGGGAAAATCTGGTACAAGGGCCCAATGTAACAACATGGACTAGGGGTCAAGGGGTGGATCAAAGAGAAAATGGTGGAAATTAGATCGAGAGAATGGGGGTGATGGAGGCCCATCTAAAACACCAACTACAAGAGAGCCACAGGAAAGAGTCCATCCCAATCAACCAAGACTTAATGTTCAAGAGCAATTGAGAGAGAGGAATCAAAGAGAGACGAGGCAAGCTGAAATGGAAGGAGAGCCATGGAAGAGCATGTTGACACAAGGAGTAGAGTCATGGTAGTTTGCAAAAAAGAGTAAGGGGCTTGTTAGAAGATAAGGCAAAAAAGGTAAGAATGTAAGATACAACTATAAAACTCCTAATGGAAGTAGAAAGAAGAGTGGTAAAGGAGAAGGGAAAGAAAGGTAGGAAAACAAGTAGAGAGATTTTCAAGTTATCTTGGGGATTAAACAAGGCAGGAAGCTCTACAGAATAAATAGGAGAGGAAGGAGAAGAGACAATAGAGTATAAAAAGAAGAAAAAGGAAAAAGAGAAAAAAAACAAATACAAAGTGATGCAGTCCACAAGATCACAAATAAGACTAAAGGCTGGATGGGAGCGAGATCATGCTCCACAAGATCCAAAAGAGCGAGTGTGAGCCCCACAAGATCTAAAGGAGCAAGAACCAGCCCAACGAGGCCAGGAAGAACTCATCCCATGACATTGTGAGATTGCAAATGCAACGAGACCCCAGGCTACGTCTGCTTAGCAAAGGTCCCCCACCTTGTGAGATTGCTTCGCTAACAACTCATTGTGAGACCGCTCAAGGAACTTTTTTTTTAAAGTTCCTCGAGCTATTCAGATCGATTTTTCAAGAGAACAAGGAAGAAAATGATTTTCAAAGAGTTGAAGAAGACAATTGAATGTATTGGATTGTTCGACAAAAGATGAGGTTCAAGTGTTGCCTGCACTCGTAAAGGAAGTCAATCCAGTAGCTAAAGAAAATCAGGATATGAGGTCAGTAAGGAAAAATCCTAACACTTTGATCTGTAACGTAAGACCAAAAGAAGGGAGACTCGAGAAGAATAGTTCACTTGTTAAAGATGACAGGGTATTGACTCCTACTATAAACTCTCCAAGGCAAAATCAACCTCAAGGAACAGAATTAGGCCTTTCTCCTTATGCACACCCCCCTCCCCTGAATGATGGCCCATTGATCCCCAACAACACAGGTATGATTGTCCATTCGGTTTTGGTTACTAATGTGCTTTGTGTGCTAGTAACAGATACTCCAGCATCCCAAGCGAAAGTTCCAGTTATGGGGAAGAGAAGAGAGATTGGCAGTCCTGAGAATGAACTAAGAAAGGAAGGAGTGGCCCCTAGAGAGAGACAGGAGGAGGATTAGAGAGAATATGGGAGATGATATGTGAGTTGTTGGAGTAGTCGATCAAGACTACAATCAGTCTTGAATTCGAAAGAAAAAAAGAGAGATTTCAGAAGAAAAGAAGAAGAGGGAGAAAAGAAGAAGCACACGAAGGGATTTAGAAAAGAGAGAGAGGATTGATCAAATCGATCTATTGACCCACTCTTAATATTTATATATGTTGACTAATTGTAAAAGGGCTAAATTGCTTACATGGCAAATAAACTAATAATAAAGCTGAAATAACAAGCTGTAACAACAAACTGAAATAAGTACCAATAACTACCAACTAACACTAACATAACTAACAAAACATATGCTATGCTGCCATACGTA